TGGCGACCCAGACCGCCAGGGCGACGGAGCAGATCGCCAAGGACGTGGAGGCGATCCAGGCGCAGACCTCGAACACCGTGCAGGCGATCGAGGTGATCTCCGGGCGCATCGGCTCGATCAGCGAGATCGCCACGGCGGTGGCCAGCGCGGTCGAGGAGCAGTCGGCCGCGACCAAGGAGATCTCGCGCAACGTTCAGGAGGCGGCGGCCGGGGCGCGCGACGTGACCTCGAACATCGCCGGCGTGACCGAGATGGCGGGCGCGGTGGACCGCTCCTCCAACGAACTGGCCGAGGCCTCCCAGAGCCTGACCTCCCAGGCCGAGGAGCTGGAGAGCTTCGTCACCCGCTTCATCGCGGACGTGCGGGCCGCCTGAGCGCCGCCGCCGCGGGGCGTCGGCGGACCCCGCCCGGCCGCGCGGGGGCGCTTCCGTTTCACGCGGGCCCGTGCTAGATAAACCGCATGGATGCGACCTGCGACAGAGTGCCGGCGCGGCTGCGCCGACTGCGACGAGGCGGCGGCCGCCGACGTGCGGCCTGAGCCGATCTCTGCGCGTCTTGGCGCGGGGGCGGCTCCGTGAAGCCTGTCCCCGCCTTTGATCCGACGCACAAGAGACCGCAGCCATGAGCATCACCATCGACCAGGCCACGCCCGCCGAAGCGGCACAGATCGAATCGCTGCTCGACCGGACCTTCGGCTACGGGCGCACCCAGAAGACCGTCTACCGCCTGCGCGAGGGCATCGCGCCGGTGCCGGGGCTGTCCTTCGTGGCGCGCCACGCCGACGGCGGCCTGATGGCGTCGATCCGCTACTGGCCGATCCTGATCGACGAGACCCCGGCCATCCTGCTCGGCCCGCTGGCCGTCGAGCCGGCGCTGCAGGGACAGGGCTACGGCAAGACGCTGGTCCGCCACAGCCTCAGTGAGGCCAAGCGCCAGGGCCACCGGCTCTGCGTCGTGGTCGGCCCGCCGGAGTATTACGGCCCCTTCGGCTTCACCTCGGCGCCGGCGGCGGGCCTGGTGCTGCCCGGCCCGGTCGAGCCGGAGCGCTTCCAGGTTCTGGAGCTGCAGGCCGGCGCGCTGGAGGGCGTGTGGGGGCTGATCCAACGGGCCGAGACCGCCGCCGACACCGGGTCCGTCGCCCGGGCGGCGGGACGCGGCCGCCACGCCTGAGGACCGCGCACCCGCGGTCCCGGCGCTGCGGTGCCCCGTGCTTCAGGTCCCCCGTGCTTCAGGTCCCCCGCGCTTCAGGTCTCCCGCGCTACAGCTCCCCGTGCGTCAATTCAGGGCCACGATGCCGGCGTTGAGCAGGCCGGCGTAGGCCAGCCAGGCGAGGTAGGGGGCCAGCAGCCAGGCCGCCGGCCGGCTGAAGCGGGCGAAGCTGCGCGCGGTCAGCGCCACCAGT